TTATTTTTCGACCGGAACTCGTGCGTCGGGAATATGCGTAAACGACGATAATGGTCATTTTGTGACGGGGCCTTGTCCCGTTCACATCCGGCTCTCGGTCTTGAGTATGTTAGTTTATTTACCTGCAAATCATCCGAGATATGTCTCATTTTATTTTATAACATACATAAAACCTTACATACATTCATACATATACATACACACACACACTCATATATACAAATATACAACGTATATATATATATATATAAAAGTAAAGAGCCACACATCCATCCATACATACATTTAACATATAAAAATAGATGGGTAGAATTAAACTAATCTGTACTTAAAAACTACTGAGGAAGAAAACGTTAACAATATTAAAAAAAATGGCATGGAGGGATTAACGCGTATACGTCTATTAAATCTGCATATAAACCTCTGTATATAAAAATACCAGAAAACTATCAGATTTTGTATATCAGTTGTGTAGGAAAACTTTTTACTTACCTATAACATACACATATGCCAACACATGAATAAAGTTTGCTAACACAAATTAAATGATCAAAAATATATAGAGCACCACATAAACACAGACAATGAAATATATAGGTAATAATAAGAGTCATTCCATTTAAATGTCATGTACGATGTTAGTGTTCCAAGATCGAACTGTTATAGGTAACAACACGTCATAAAACCGTGTTTATGTTTTAAAACGTTTTTTATATCTACACTTGGAAATGATCTCACTACGAAGATTCAGCAACTCTTCTGGATTTTTATCCTTAATAATGATTTTTTTCCGCAATGCATAGATCACACCGGATACGGAAGTTACTAGGGGTTCTCGCTCTTGATATGAATTTCCATTCGAAATGCGGGGTTAGTCCCTTGTCCACCAGATCCCAATAGTGTTTGGATAAGGAAGTTTGATTTTTTAGGTATCGATATTTAAAAGAGCGTCTGTGGTGGTACAGACACTGCTCCCAATTACCAGCGCATCTACCTATGTATCTTTTTTTCAAGCTGATATTTTCTTCGGGGTAGATTGCAGCTTCATATATTACATTCTCATACATACATTTTCCCCCGATTGGACAATTAGCTCTCCTCCTACAATTGCAGGTGGGCTCCTAGATTGAATTTCACTATTATGGTAGTTCTTAAGTATTTTATAATTGCGGGAGGGATATAATTTTCTCCATATTACTTACACATAAATAACTAATTTTCAGTGTCTTCCTGTTGAAAATTTTATATAGTGGGTGTTTACTATCAAAGTGCTTATTAAATTTAGGAAGAAACTTCCTATATCAATGTTGGAAAGCCTGCAATACGGTGAGTTAAACCATATTACTTTCCTCTTTCTGTTTTTAGACCTATTATTACTATGATTTTCCAGTTCTTCGTCATAGTTAATTCTTCTTTAAAACCACTATTTTTGAGTGTCTGGTTGTATGTAAATTTATTTTTATTCAAGATTTTCTGGCTAGAATATAGCCTAATTATTTATTCGAAAATTATAATATAAATATGTTATAAAATCACTACAAAAATAGCCATTTTGTTTCAACATTTCTGGTGTCTTATCAAGATTCAACATCATCATTTGATAAGACACCAGAAGTATTGAAACAAAATGGCTAATTTTGTAGTGATTCTATAACATACTTATGTTATAATTTTCGAATAAATAATTATATTTACTCTACTCTGTATTGAGCACTCTTTAAAGAATAGTATTTGTTGGTTATTGGAATTTATTCCGTACACCAATCCTATACTTGGATATATATATATACATTTTACCAGTTTATGACTGGAAGGGATAATTCCGAGAAGGATATAAATCCAGACAGAGCTCAATGTAAACAACAGAGCATTATAATGATAAGAATTTGGGCATTTGCGGAGAAGTTTTCGTTCTGATGAGCTGAACATCTCGGTGTTCACGAAATAAAATCTATAAACGAATGGATAATTAAATTCTCCTTCTTCTTTTATACACCGCTTTAGGAACACAACTACAATGAATCTAAGTGTTGCGTGATAGAAGCTAAGCCTTGGAAATTTTTCAAAAAATAAATAAACAAGACAAGGGGGTGTATAAGCCAAGCTTCTTTTCGTAGAAAAATTGATTTACTGATAGAACATTAATCAATTTATTTACTGGTAGAACATTAATCAATTTATCCACTGTCGTAACAGATTTTGTAAGATTGATTGTTCGAATATTTTTTCTTTGATAGTTGTATTTAAGCAAAATTTCTGCAAGTACAAAATATTTAAAAAATTATTAGATAAACTAAAAACTATTTTTTAGTCTAAAAATGTCAACCCTTCTTTGAGATTATGTTTTCTGACATGACAAGACAACTAAACAGACGCAAATATTTATTTCGCATTGGATTTTTTTTGTTTCAGTAAAAAAAAGTCTGAATCAGCGATTAGCAATATTTATTTTAATTTTATACAGGTGGCTTCTTGTATCTAATTTACCATCTATTTATTTTTAACGTTTTTATAAAAAAAACAAAAACATTCAAAACATTTTTCACGACTCATTTCAAAACATTCTTTACAAACAAACAATGAATCAAACAATTTATTTTTTACCTAGTAGAAGATGGAAAATATTTTGTGAAAAAAATAAAATAAACACTACCCAGCTATTTTGGAGGAAAGTTAATCTCTCTAACTTTTAAATTCTAAAATTAAAAACGTGATATGTAATTATTTTTCAGGTAAGTTTTAAATTAATTTTTAAAAGAACAGCTGATTGTGTGCCTACCACGGCGTTATGTTCGACTAGTTCATTGGTATAATATTTTCGATCCTTATTGGGTGCCTGCATTATTGTTATGGCCTTGTACCAGACTAAGCTACGCAGAGGAAGTAACTGAAAACGGGTATTTGTTATTGTTGTTGTTGTTGTCGTTGTCGTCTCATTGTCTAAGGGAAGTAACTGACATTACTTGATTATTAATTTTTCTAATTTTTCTTAAATTGCTTCTTTTATCATGATGTTCAGATCACTCTACCTTCTAAGAATTAGAAATCAACAACAAAAAAAGAAAGAAAACTAGTCAATAATAAAAATATTTCATCAGAAACTTTTCTGACAAAATGTATATATATCCTTATTAGAGAAAAAAGTTTCACCTTCAATTTTTTTCTCGTGTTTAGAAGTTCTTAATGGTGAAAGTAAACTAATTTATTATCTAGAGTTAAAAAAGAGTCTAACAAAATAAAAAGGTTTAAAAAATGTTATTAAACATCAATACAATCTGAGTCTAATCAATGAAGATTAAGCATCTCTTTATAATCTTTAAGTATCTATTCTCAGAAAATTATAAAATTATATGGAGGAAATATATGATTACATTTTCCTTACAAACGAAAAAAATTATAGTTCATAAAGAGGAATTTAATTTCACAATTCCAGAATATTGACACTTTTTACAAGCTTTTAAAAGTGTATAATTTTACTTTATATCAAATCACTCCATGAATGCTCCTGCACCATGTAGCAAAATGCTATATATTACATGCATCATGGCCAACTATACTAGGTCCTCCACCAGGCTTTTCTGGTGCAGAAAGTGGCTAGACACACAAAGCAAGACCTCTCTTAGGGTGGATTAAGCTTTTTGTAGGGCTATCTAACACAATAGTGTAGACAGGGCTCTATAGTTATATATGCAACCAGAGCAGTGATGATATGGCATTGCTGGGAGGAGGGCTTCTTATACTGAAGTCAACAACCCGGGTTGAGGTTTCTCTCTGTGGAACCAACAGCCACATGTTTGTATCTAAGTCTAGCTTTCAAAGTGAAGGATATTAGCTATGGTTTAACCTGGAGAAGTATAGGCTCTGCCAGGTCTTCTTGTTCAACACACCCTATGCATGAACAAATACTTTGTCTTTCAAATCCAGATATGTGGAGGGAACTAGTCAGGTCCTTGGCTTCAGAATGGCCCTACCACCACACCCAATTGTGGACATGATGATGATCATGATTGACCTAATCTTTATGAGTGAAATTAGGTATAGGGAACTGTTCAGAAATCATTGATGATTGTGGTAGCACTAAGACACAAGTCATTGTAACTGAGGATTTGAACATACTGGCCATATTCAAAACTGCTGATTGTGCCAGATTATGAACTCTCTCCTAGAAATTGTTACTAAGGTCTGCTGAGAATTATTGCAGTAGAAACCACAGATGGGCTCCATGAATGTTGTAGAAATAGAAATGGATCTGAGCAGGGCTAGTACAAGGGTCTCATGAGCTCACAGTGGATCTATGATATGCCCCCCCCCCCACATCATTCTAATCTAATAGTCAGTTGTGCTTAGTTTATTTTTAATATATATAAATGTAGGTAGAAAAATGCCAATATTGCTAAGATAACAAGGGTCAGAAAGCACTGCTTGGAGCCCCTAATCAGGATTGGGCTCCACCCTAGTTGGGAGGTTTATGGGTAGTACACACTGGCCCTGGACCTGAGAGTCAGTTATCTGCAACATGTATTAGTTAGCAACCCTCACAAATATGTGTGCACTTGGAAATGAGGTGTCAGCAATTATTGTGTGTGTGTGTGTGTGTGTGTGTGTGTGTGTGTGTGTGTGTGTGTGTGTGTGTGTGTAGGTATGTGAAATACCAGCTGTAAGCTTGGAAGTGCAGTTGGTGTAATGGATAATGGCTCAGAATAAGAAATCAGAGTGTCAAGTTCAAATTCCAGTTGGATTCATTGCATTTACTTATGCGCAAGTACCCTTGGAAAAGGTATGAATCCACCTCCTTCCCTCAGCTATGGGTTAAATAGTAGGACTTGTATCTGAAAAAAATCATTGTTATTCTCCAAAAAATTGTTAATGCAATATTTGCTTGCAAAATACATCCAAAATCCAATCCAAAATATGTTTTGGCTTTAAATAACCCACAAAGCCATAAAAAACAAATTAATCAATACAGTTTGTTTTTAATTTACTTTCATTTCTATTTGCAGCATGGTGCAGCTGTGTTTCTTTATCATCCTTGTGTTGATGAAAATCAGCTGGAATATTTCAAAGAAATTGCATTCAAATGCTTAAAGAAAATCATCATCACGCCATACAAAAATGTTCCAGTAGAACAGGTACAAAGACCTTAACTTTATTTAAACATCAATAGTCACTATTACCACCATAGATATAATCATCTTTGAAAAAAGTGTTTCCTTCTCATTCAGAAGTCTGGTCTTGTGACACAATGGATTTCTGCTCAATTAGATTAGAATATCCACATTCTCAAGTGGCCTGTAAATATTTTATGTTTTAGGACAACCAACAGTGAGATCTAGATGTGAGATATTCAAAGTAACTATTGAACTAGTTAGATATAACCACAAGTTCAATTTATTAGAATCTCAGTCACACATTAACAAATCTATCATTTATCAATGCATTGAATATTGCTCGGTCTATATATCTTGAGATTCTCAACAAAATCTAAAGAAGAATGATTTTGGTCCTGACCTGGCATCTCAGCTTCAGTCACCTTCCTACCACCAAGTCTCTCTTTGTCTTTTCAATAAATATTTTCATAGCAATTGTTCTAATGAGCTCTTGTCCTTGGTACCTTGACCACATAAATTTGAGCATATTATTAGATTGGTTACTAGGTCTCATCATTTTATTGTTTTATTGCTAGATGTAACTAAGATACTGGAAAACTGGTTGGTTCATTATATCACCCCAGTAAGAATCCGACTCCCCCTTACTATACTATATCTTTAAAAGAACCAGATCAGACCAAAATTGGAGTATTGCTGCTCATTGTTTTACTGTTGAACGAGCTACATATAATCATAAGTTCCATTCTAATAGTTTCTTTTCTCGCACTTCTTACCTGTGTAACTCTCTTCCAGTTTCTTGCTTCCCAGCCACCTACAATCTTAAGGAGAATCTTAAATTTATGTGACACAATTAGGAAAGCTACCAAGAAAAACTGAGAATAACAAGGATAGAATATGTAAGCAATAAGGAAGTTCTGAGGAAAATAGACTGTAATAACTCTAATGGCCAGCTGTACAAATCTGATAAAATAAAAAAATTCCAATCATTTTTGTATGAAATCTTTGATTTTGATTGTTTGCACTTTCTTCAAAATGAGTCAAAATTAAATCAATTAATAAAGTGAGAGATAAGTCAAGATTTACTTGTAAAATATTTACACCTTGCAAACTGAAATAATGAATATAGAGTTGATTTTCAAATTTGTTTTTTACATTTACTGTTCAGTATACTTCTGTACTGTATAAAAACTTAGTCTTTTTGTTTATTTGTTTTTAATTATTTCATCCCAAGCAAGGCAGTAATGCCATTAGGACACAAGGAGATACTCAGTTTTAGAAAATATGAGAAAATATACTATTAATGAGAGAGGACAATAAAAGAACAGGTATTAAAAAGACAGAAGATAATGATTGACACTGCATTTAAAGTTTTGAAGAACAAAGTTGACTGGAAAATATATATCTGAACAAGGGTTCCACAAACAAGAAGTGAGAACAATAAAGGAAGAAGAATCAAGAAGACAGAAGATAACTATTGAGATTGCATTTAATGTTTTGAAGATCAGTTGGCTAGAAAGAATGAAGCTGGAATAGAGTTTCACAAGCGAGAAGTGAGAACAATAAAGGAAGAGGAATCAAGAAAACAGTAGATAAAGATTGACATTGCATTTAAAGTTTTGAAGATCAAAGTTGGTTGAAAAGCATGGAGCCAGTTGAGAGTTCCACAAGCGAGAAGTGAGAACAATAAAGGAAGAGGAATCAAGAAGACATAATGATTGATATTGCATTTAAAATTTTGAAGATCAAAGTTGAGTAGAAAGCAAGAAGCTGGAAGAGTGTTCCACAAGTCAGAAGTGTGATAGAAGAAACTGTTAGCATAGAAATTACAGCTACATCCAGCCATTCAACTGTAAATTAATGAGACCTTCCTGCCAATCCAGTATTATGCTTAAATTCATAATGTTTATTTACCATAAATAAAGTTCATCAGAACAATTACCATGAAAGTATTTATAGAAAAGGCTCAGGGAATTAATTTAGTAAACATTTTTTTAAGTAAAGAATAAGTACTAGGATACAGTTAGTATACAGATGATGATGGTAATGGTAATATTAGTTGTTTCCTTACATAGAAACATTTGACATTCATTGACCAAGTAGCTATTAATACTGTTTATGAAAACTTTCTCTTAAAACAATTTTTCAGGAAAATAGTTTTTCAAGCCCAGTAGCTGTTATCACTATTTCCAATATTTACAGGAGTTTCCTTTTAACCTTTTATTTGAAGTAGTATGGAATGTCAACATCTTGATAACATCATTCTTTTTCTCTTTAAGTTACATTTGCTATTATAACACAGCTGGCCCAGCTTAATTATAGTCCTTCTAATATTGGTCAGTACTGCCACCGATCAACTGATGAATTACCTGCAGGCCACTTCATTTCTACATCTGCCCACCCCCACATTGTGTTGCTTGATCACAGAGCAGTGATGACCAAATTTTGTTCATATCTGAGTGTTGAAACGAGCTGTGGCAGAACCGTTTCTACAAAAGGACAAAGAACACTTCTACTGGTGGAAATACAAATATCATAACAAAATAACTGATAGATTAGTTTTCAGTTGGTTTATATAGTTGTTGATACAACAAATCTAACCCTTCCCATTAAACTCTCTATTGTGACACTATATCTCATTCTTCTAAAACTTGGAGTGGGTTAAAAACAACATCAAAAGGTGCTCAGGAGCAGGTCACGTAGAGTTCAGAAGCTTCCTCATCTGCTGCTGGCTCATCCTGTCTGTGTTTTGCCAACTCTTATCAACTACTGGCTTCAACTAAGCACTCTTTTTATATGCATTTTGCCCAACTACTACCATACTTCAGGACTCATCATTATTCATATCAATTAATTATTTTCTCCAACCTTGAAGAAACGACACTGACCCTCAAACAAAGTGGTCAGTTATTCAAAATAATACATTCTCTGACAACAATAATTTTTCTGATAACAAACTTTTGTGTTCAAAAATTATGTCTATTTTTCTGATGTCAAAGAATTTTCACATTCCTCATTCCTCAGGACATATTTTAGGTTGCTTATGTCATTGGCTTTGTGATTTATAATAACTTAATTCATTTTTCAGCATATATTAGACTGCTTACATTCCAGCTTTGAGGATTCATAACAATTTTATTTGCTCATCAGTTTATCAGTTTTTCTCTTTTTTCCCAAGCTCCATATTTCAAATCATGTTTTCATCTTAATGATTTTAATTTTTTTTAATGCTTCCAATTCTCCAATTCCTATACAGGATTTTCACACAAACCCTTTTAATCCTAATTTCATACTACCAGTGTTACAATAATGTCACACTAATTTTAGCTGTTGCTGATGTTAAAAGTCCTGAAATGATGTGGTTTCTCTTATTTGATAAAGTTCTTTGCTTGTGATTCTGTAGCACTAGTCCACAAGGTTGAAAGAAGTATGGTCTTTGCCAAAACCTTCAGGCTTCACTTGGTGAAAGCCATTTTTAACCATTGATCTTAGAAAGCAGTTGTATACAGCTGACAGTTTAGATACTTCTGAATGGGTTTGGTACCATACATGACATCCATATGAAAGCCTCGATTTGATGAGGCTATTTAAGAATATGACTTGTGTTTTCAGGTTAATGTTTTGTAGTAATTTGTGTTGGTGAATGAAACTACCTCTAGTGCAGCCTATTCTATAAATCCCCCTATATTAAGTTTGATATAACTGATCTATACACCCAGCTATTTGAAGTGTTTAGTATTTACTAATTCCACATCCTGGATTTTTATGATGGTTTCAGGTTATGTGCCATCATGGCTTTTATTCCAATTCCAGATCATAGTTTCTGTTTTGGAAAGGTTTATCTTGAGTCCTATTTCTTGAAACACTTAGATAGAGGATGTTGATTTTCTCTCAAGATCATTCTTATTTCAACTACGAATACCTATGTCATCAGCATACCCACCCTCAATCATCATACCTCCCTCAATCAAAATACCCCCCTCAATCAGCATACCACCCCCACCAATCAACATCTCTCTTCCAACCCCACTCAATCATCCCATAGGAAGGTAAGTAGGATTGTTGTCTTCTATAGATAATTTCATATTTATTCTCTATTTTTAACATAGTTTTAGAAATTTTAAATCTATTTTATAGACAAAAATTCTTAAAATAACTTTGGATCAGAAATATGGGGTGCTGACTATAGACTCAGACCAGAAATTTCATATAGTACTATGAACAATATGTAAAAATTTCTTTCATGTAGTACTATGAACAATATGTAAAAATTTCTTTCATATAGTACTATGAACAATATGTAAAAATTAAACTAAAATGATTCTTCTCGAATTCATCAAGTTATCTCAATGTAAATTAAAAATAATTAAAATGTATCAGAATTTATATCTTTAATAACATTATTTTTATATTTCCAAAACTTCTTACCAGATACCATTCTAAAAATTAGAATAAAAAAAAACATTAAAAATAATTTGTTTGACATAATAGTTTACTGTATAATGATAAAAGATGATAATTTCATTATTATTTGAAATAAAAATATTTTCTCTCTTTTTATTTTAGCCGTTTGTGGTAGTTACATATCGAGCAAAGTTAATGATGAATAGGGTGCAACGAGATGCCATTGAAAAGTTTATACAAGTAAGTTCTTGCCATATATTCAACTGACTTTTACAGAATGATTATTCTCTGAACATTTTTTAATCCCATGATATTTCAAGAAGAAATAGGCAATCATCACTCTCCATATATTTTTCCTTAATATCTGTGAATTTCCATGTCATAATAGAGTTTTTTACCATTGTCTTCTACATGGTGTGGTATCCAGAGGTGTCCTTCTCTTAGAATGACTGTTACACAATGTTAAAGAATCCACTTTACCCTGCTATTTAACTGATTACATTTTATAATTTAAAATATTTTCTTTTTTTTTTTTTTTGACGAAATATTGAAACTTAGATCCCATTTTTAATGTAATGTTTTAGCCAAGTAGTAGGTACACAGTGAATAAAGGTTATATTAGTGCCTGTCATCGATTCAACTGACATTTATAACTACTATTTTCTGAACATTTTTTAATGCCATGTCTTTTCAGAATGTAAGCAATTATAACTCTCTATAGATTCCTTTTCTTTAATATCTGTGAATTGTCTTGCATTCATGAGAAAGGTAACAGAATGGTTTTTCCATTGCCTTCTTTATGGTTTGAATTCTGAGTTTTCCTTCTCCTAGACAGGTTGCCATCCAAGACTAAAGAGTCTACTAAAGTCTACTCGGCTATTTAATGCCCAACATCCCCAAAATTAGATGGTGAGATTTAATGGGTTGAAAGATTTGAACCAGGCTAGCTGACTTCATTCCCTATGTCAATATCCATTACACTCAGGGCTAGTGCAAAAGTCTCATGCTCCCGCCCACCACCATCTATGATATGGGGTCCCTCCCACTGTATTAGATCTCAGTTTTCATAAGGTACTTGAGATTTTTTCTTGTTAAAAAGTTGAATAATTTTAACACATTCAACATTATGGATAAAAAAATAGTGTTTTTTGGGTTTTTTTTTTTTTCTTTAGAATTAGCACAAGCAAAACTAATTCATGAATTTATTAAAAAAAAAAAAGACTCCAGAATGACTTCAAAATCTGTAAAAAATTTTTCATCCTTTAATAGTCAGTTATACTTAGTTATATAATTCATAATGTATATAAATGTCGGTAGAAAAAGCAAATGTTGATAAGATAGTGAGGATTACAAAGCACTACCCCCATCAGGTTGGTAGGGTTCGAGGTTAGTACATACTGGCCCTGTATAAAATTAATCTATCAAGAAAATAATCAATGTTTCAAAATACTCTGAACCTATTTTTTAATTTAAAAAAAAATCAAGAGTTCTGTACTTTACAAATTAATTATTTCAAAATTACACAATACTTATTAAGCTGAATTACCTGTGCATTGCTGTGTGTCACAGATTTTTTTGTAAAAAATGATGATTGATCTTAAATCATTTTTTATAATTTGCGGAAAGAAATGATGCATTTCAATATTATTCATTGATCTTGCTGATGTGACCTCCATCTTCTGGCTTTCTCCTTCTATATTTTGGACAGGAGTCATTCCCTAGTCAAATTTAAATTTGATTTAAATCAAAGGGAAAAAAATTTTCAGTGGGGGGGGTGCAAAAGCAGCTTGATCTCACCCCTCTGATATGTATTTGATGAAATATTTGATTAAATGAATTGATGAGCAGATTTCAACATTGATATGACAGTTGAATTCTTATAACAAATATATATTGTAAGGAACTACTCACTGATTGGTGATTTCTTGCTCAACTTGACATCCTTGTTGTCTAATTTTGATCTTACCAAAGTGATCTTCTTCTTCTTGCTTTCTCTTTGTATATTTTGGATAGAAGTCATCCCCTTGTTCAAATTTAAATTTAATTCAAATCAAAGGGAAAAAAATTTTCAGTGGGGGGGTGCAAAAGCAGCTTGATCTCACCCCTCTGATATGTATTTGATGAAATATTTGATTAAATGAATTGATGAGCAGATTTCAACATTGATATGACAGTTGAATTCTTATAACAAATATATATTGTAAGGCACTACTCACTGATTGGTGATTTCTTGCTCAACTTGACATCCTTGTTGTCTAATTTTGATCTTACCAAAGTGATCTTCTTCTTCTTGCTTTCTCTTTGTATATTTTGGATAGAAGTCATTCCCTTGTTCAAATTTAAATTTAATTCAAATCAAAAGGAAAAAAAAAATTAATGGGGGGACTATTTTCGATTAAAATGAAATATACTTATCCAAGTACCCTGGGTAATGTAGTTTAAGAATATATATGGTTATGGGGAGGGGACCTATCTCCAAAATCCTAGGAGGAGTTCAATAACAAACAAACAGACAGACAGACTTTATATATAGATTTAAACAGTCTGTTGTTAAAAATTGACAAAACATTTTTTATTTATTTCAGATGGAATGATCTATTATGACATGTCTCTAATTTGTATTTACATGCATTGTTGTATTTATTTTCAATTTTTCTTGTTGAATTGTACACTTATATTTCATATGATCTATTGCTGTACATAATTTAGTTTAGAATAAAATTTATTTTTTATATGAAATCTTATGAAAATTGAGATGTAGTAGAGTGGATTAAGGATGTATCATGGATTTGTGGGTGAACCCACGAGACCCTTGCACCAGTTCCAATTTTATAGATCTAAATTGTTGGGAAAACCTTTTAGGATTAATTTAAATTTAAAATGTTTAAATTTAAATTTTTCCCTTATTCCTTTCCCTTACAATTTTGCAATATTTTTTTTAGCTTAATGATGTGTCATACTGCTTTAGGTGAAGTGCAAAACAATTTCCCTGTTGCAATGTGTACACAACTTGAAAAGAAGGTCATTTCTTGTCCAAACAATGTAAACATGTACAAAAAGTATTGATTCATTTGCCTATCTAGAAATGTAAATAGTTCTTTGTATGTTAGAGGATAGTTTATGCGACATATCCAAACCAAGTTTTTTTTTTCTTCAAATAATTATCTTTTTATTCATATATGTGTATGTGTACATTGTATGTTAAATAATTTACTTTACTTGCTTGTTTTAACATAGTATGTTAAATAATTTACTTTACTTGCTTGTTTTCCTTTTCACATTTTTCTACTCTTTACACATGCACAAAGTGCACATGTTTAGTTTGTTTATTAAAATTTTAAATCCACAATCAACCAGTAAAATTCACAATCAGAAAGGAGTTTCCTGGTCGTTTTGAGAATTTGACAGAATCCTTAATGTTATGAATAGACAAATGAATGACAAAGGGGAAAAATTATTGTGTAACATATTTGGTCCGCTAGAAGGACTTCACTGGACAGAAAGCAATATGTTGATGGAATTATATATGTGTAGGAGAGGGAGGGAAGATATCAAAACATGAGCTTTGGTTATGTACCAAGAAGAAACACGGCAATGTTGAAATTTTACACTTTTAAATTTTTTTAATTACTTTTTCTCACATGTGTCTTAGCATAGTCTAGCCTATAGGTCCATCAACAGTAACAAGATTTTTTAGTCCAGGGAAGTTCTAGAGTATGAAACATGTTACACAGAATTTTTCCACTTTATTATTAATTTGTTTAATATTGTTGAAATATATAGAAATTTATCATATTCTCCCATATTATGAATACCAGGAGGGAAAAGTTTATATGGTAAACAAACTCATATTTCTGTTATCCAAATAACTTTGTTTAAATCTCTCTCTCTCTCTGAGTTTATACTTATCTATCTATCTGGATCTATGCTTAACTATCTAATTATCTATCTGGGTCTATTCTTTTCTATCTTATCTATCTATCCGGGTCTATTCTTATCTCTCTGTCTGGGTTTATGCTTATCTATCCATCTATCTATTTGGGGCTATTCTTTATCTATCTATCTATCTATCTATCTATCTGGGTCTATTCTTATCTATCTATCTATCTATCTATCTGGGTCTATTCTTATCTATCTATCTATCTATCTATCTATCTATCTATCTATCTATCTATCTATCTATCTATCTATCTATCTATCTATCAGTAAGAGTCGGGGAAGAAGAGTGTGTCGGCATCTAGAAGACTATCTAATCAAAGAGTGAAATAAAAATTTGGTTTATTTAATTTGAATATAGTAATAATGTCTTCTATCCTCACATTTCTCAGTAATAGGGCCTATAGGCCCCTCCCTCTTAGGCGCATAGGAATTGGACCCAACTATCACCACACCTCTAGTGCATGTCACTGCTCTCTATCTGATCATATTTTTGTCTTTTGCCTAAATTTGAAACAAAACACATTTATTACACTAAAATTTCTTTTTAGTCAGATGAGTCCTTTTTAGAGTCTAGGACTTCCTCGGAGTAAAATGCCTTTTTAGTTTTATTGATGGAACTATCGGGTGAGAGAGGAGATATTGTAAACATCGGTTTATGAAAAAAAAAAGTAGGAACGCTAAATTTAAATTTTTTTAAGTTAAAAAAAGTTTTTATCGACCGATGCGTAATTCCATCAATAAGAACACTACTTTCTTTAAATGACTAAACTTTAGTCTAATAAATTAAATTCCCTTCCAAGGATGAAAGGCGTTACAAAGAATTTCTTGCATTTTGTTATTCATTTGCCGAACATTGTTCCATAATTAAATTAATTCTCCCATGGGTTTGTGCGCGAACGCGCGTGTGTATGTGAAACGCTGGCTGTCATAGGGAATGGACGTCTTTTTTCATTGCTCCAAGAAAGTGATGTCGTTTTCAACGATGAAAAGCAGTGATTATTATTTATTTGTTCTAATTCTATTCTTTTATTCATTATATCCTGATAACTCAACGTCCCGTTTCAATAACTTTTCTTTTCTTTTTTTTATTCTATCACAAGTCCTCTATAAAATGTCCCCATGGTAAAAAATCAAAAATTTTATGCAACTGGAGGCATTTTTACAATGTTTTAAATAAATGGGAAGTTGCCAACTTTTTGAACGTAACATTTTTTAAAGGTTTATCAATAAAATTAAATATATGCTCTCTAGCTCTTTCATTTGACGACTCTTATGTTTTTGGTATTTATTGATTAATTTCTATAATAAACTTAAACTAAACAGAAATTTTAGCTACCCCCACGGACTTCGTAAAAAAAAAAAGAATGCATTTTATAATTAAATTTTTTTAAAGTTAAATTTTTGATCTTATTTGAAAGATAATAGCCTCCAGGTACCTCCAAAATTTCGCTAAAAAATTTAAAAAAAAATGTCCAAAACATTAAAAACAAAATTTTATGTTCAAACAAAATCTTTGTGTATTTTAAGAGGGGGGGTAAAGAATTTTTTTATATTAAACATTTTGGTAATTGTCTAAAATTGGAACCATAATTCACATGCGCAAAAATGAAAGTAGAAAAATTTGCTAGAACTTTTTATCTCTAATTTTTGAAAGAAAACAATTTTAATTGCAAAACAAATAACTTGCGAAGATTGTTGCTACAATATGACCATATCATCCAAATTTTTTTGTGATGGAAATAAGCACTTCCACAGATTCTCAATACATAAGATTTTATTTTAATTAAAAATTAAAATCATTTAAGAAAAAAAAAATGAAAAGTCTTGAAGCTTTGTGGGAAATATTTAGCGACTCCCCAAATTGAAATGTGGCTGACCAACGAAGATGAGACAACTGAACAAGTTAAAAAATATATCTTATAAATACATTATACAATGAGAATAGAATTGCTAAAAATGTATTCTTTTAGTAGTTAAAAAAAGTCATGGCACTGGGGATCTAAACATGTGTCTTTGAAATTGATGAAACAGTTATCTGGTGCTGTTAATCTTCTGATAGCTGAGTTTTGCATCATTCAAGTTTCCTTGTGGCCAGAATCACCTGTTCTTGGAGTAGGCTGAAAGCACGTCTCTCCCATTTGTGATTGTCTCAGCTTCTGCTTTGGTGCCTAAATTCCATTTGGCACCTAATTTGGTGTCATACCCATTATTCTCAGATAAAAGGACTCCTCTTTCTATCAGCAGGTGTTATCTACGGAAGGGAGATAACCTATATTTTTTTATAGCTTTTAAGTTTTACTTTAGTTTTGATTTCAAGCTAACAGATTAAATTTAATATTTCCAATAAGCAAAATAATTGTCTGTATTTCAAAATTAATTTAAATTGACTGGAAGGATTTTTCTTTTCTTTTTGTTTTTTGCTAAATAATCTTAATTTTAGCGCCATTTTAAGCCCACCTTTGTCAAAATTTAATTCTCTTTATTAAAAAAAAACTTTATTTGAGGAATATTAGCTGATTTAAAGCAAAGTATAATTAATCCGATTTGAAACATATTATTTACTTTAAGTTTAAAATATCACAGAATGGCACTAGATGCTTATTTAAGCTGTTGATAGCTTGATGATAGATGAATGTTTATGTAATGTTCTGCAGTGGTGGTGGGGTTTTATCTGTAAATAATTGAAGAATATAACATGATCACCTTTTTTATATAATTTTATGTACTCAGCAATCTTAAAAATTTAGAAAAATATTCCCCATAATCTAATGAATTTTAGATATTTTGGCTTTAAATTTGCTGTAGCTATCACTTATTTTCTAATAATGTTTAGTAAATATATTTTTTATTTAATAATAATATCTAAAAGTGTAAAATTAATACAGAATTTTATAAGGTTTAAAACTTAATAAATAATTCTTATTATTAATTTTTTTTAAAAATGGAGACAATTCTTGTAAAAATTCATTATACATCAAAAAAACTTTTTTCTTAAGACAATAGTGTCTATAATATGTCCTATTCATAAGAGCAATTAAAAGTGTTTCTAATTAAATAATGTCTTATTTTTATTGCATTTTTTATTTTTTGATTCAGAGGAGATTTTTGGTAACTGTTGTTCTATTTTACAAAAGAAATTGATGATTTAAATTCTCCAAGGAGTTCTGCTTTTAACTAATATAAAAATTAAGTGGCACAAAATTTAATTTCTCTAAATAACAGATGTAAAAACGAGTTGATGGCTCAGTGGATAAAAAGCTTTGGTTGATTGATCCTAAAAGTGACTTAACCCAAAGAATTGTGAGTTCAATCCCAGGCCTTGGCAGAGAAAATGGAAAATTTATCAAAGTGAATTATATCTATGTATATGGAATTAGAACAATCTACATCCATGGATTGAATAAAGAGTTCAGTTTGAAATTCTAACAAATATTACTTGAAGAAAGCCAGATCCTGTAACAGCTAAAATGTCATGAATGTAACAATAAAGATGAGGGCAGCAGTCTCACCAATGTAAATAGTATAAATAAAATTTCCTATACTATTCTTTGACCATCAGGCTGACTAAAAAAAAAAAACAAGATTTTTAACTAAAATTTTGAACATTCTAAAAAGGATGAACAAATTTAATGAAATAATTAAAAGATTTTCTGGTCTTTCCATTTAATAAAAACATAAAGATTTTGACAATAAAACTTTGTTTTTATTATTTATTTTTATAAAATATTTAGTTGCACCTAAATGTTTTTTTTTTAATTATTCTGAATTATCAGTTCTACTGACAAACAACGAGCATATATACAGACATAGCCATAAGGATAGAATGCCTTTTATGGATTGGTCAACAGCAAACTAAGTCAAGACTTTTAAACTTTTCAGACAACAGATAGAATTATATTTTCATTGTGGTAAAAATTAAGAAGGAACGGCAAGTAAGCCACATATTACTTCAAGTTGGTGATAAGGGAAGGAAATGTTACAACTCCTGGACATATATATAATAATGGATTAATGGGTACCCTGTAAAATGTTATTTATTAACCTGCCAAAGGGTCATAAAAGGGGCATTATGGTCATAAAATCAGACTTGTGTTCTTGATCAAACCAAACTCAATTACATCAGTCATACTACTACATGCCTATCCAGACACCTTACAATACACCTATCCGACCACAGCTCCATTAGAACCCATTTAAACACACACACAAACTTACCAGACTCCATCTGAAACATACTAGTAAAAAATACAAACATAATAACCTCATCCACATGTAAAAAAAGATTAAAAATAATAGTAACCTTAATAATAAAAAAAAGAAACCACCAACACTCAATAATATTAACTATGAACACGGCCACAATGTGTTGACTGTTCAGAAAAGAAAACATCCCTAAAACTTTAGGAACATAACCCATACACCCAGTTAAAAAGTAAAAAAAAAAATCATCCTTGATAATGGCTAAAAGTATTGCCGAAAGTGCTTGGAATTACAGAACATTTGGACTGTTTCTACACACTCTGTGTCCAGAAAAGAAAACACTTGTTCGAACACAAGAAAAATTAAATAAAAAGCTTATTTGCAGTACCTTGTTTGTCATCTTTAATGAAACGCACACACATACACACATATATATATACATCTGTATATTTCAGCAGAAATCCTTCTTTCATGTACATTTCATTGAATACAACAGACAAGGTGCTTTTTTTTAGTTTTTTTATACAATTTCTCATGCATTCTAATAATTTTTTTCTTTTCAGATGATAAATTATATAAAAACTCTCCGAATGTTCTTTTTATCCGAGCACTTTTGGCTATACATTTAGCCATTTTCAAGGATTAAATATTTTAACTATTAAATAAGAAATAGTTTGTTGAAAACTATTATTTTCAACTTCTTCCTAAATAAGAAAATCAGAATATTCAGAATAATTGAAATTTAAGTATTAATATTAATTAAAATTCTAGCCTGAAAATCTGAATAACTTTGCTCTATATTTAAAATAATCCTTAACAATCACTTTTATACATCATTGTGTTTCTCATAATCCATTAAAGTAGTGTAGCTGTAACAGCAGTGATTGTGTTTTAGGGCAAGATAGCTTGAAAGAGCTTATACCTTTTCATGCGGGTTTTGAATTCAGAGTTTTCTTTCTCCTAGACTGGCCACCACTCAAAGCATGAGCTCATCTTGTCTTAATATTTAATCCATAACTGGGAGAAAGATGGATTCATGCCTTTTCCAAGGGTATTAGAGAATGAAACAGACACAGAATTTGAATTGTGCAATGCATAGCAGTTCCACTTTCTGCACTGATATCT